GTGTGTGTGTGTGTGTGTGTGCGTTTGTGCGTGCGCGTGTGCGTGTGTGTGCGTGTGTGTGTGTGTATGCTCACCTAGCTGTGGTTGCAGGGGTCGATTCACAGCTCCTGGCTCAGCCTCCTCACGAGTCGCTACTAGGTCATTCTCCCTGCTCCATGAGCTTTATCATACCTCTTCTTAAAGCTATGTATGGATCCTGCCTCCACTACATCACTTTCCAGACTATTTCACTTCCTGACAACTCTAAGACTGAAGAATTACTTCCTAACAATCCTGTAACTCATCTGAGTCTTCATTTTCCAATTGTGACCCCTTGTATTTTATATGTCGTTATCATATCCCCCATATCTCCTCTGTCCTCCAGTGTCGTCAGGACGATTTCCTTTAACTCGTAGAACATGTCCCTTAGTTCAGGGACTACTGTCGTTGCAAACCTTTGCACTATCTCTAATTTCCTTATGTGCTTGGCTATGTGTGGGTTTCCATACTGGTACTGCATACTCCATTATAGTCCTGACGTACACGATGTACAGGATCCTGAACGACTCCTTATTGAGATGAAATGCTATACCTCGGTTTGCTAGTCGCCCATGTGCTGCAGCAATTACTTCGTTGATATGCGCTTCAGGAGAGGTGCTCGGTACGATACTCACCCCAAAATCCTTTTCCTTTAGTGAGGTTTGTAATCTCTGGCTCCCTAGACTGTACTCCTTTTATTTTCCCCCAATCTTCATGACATTGCATTTGGTCGGGTTAAATTCCAGGAGCCACTTGCTGGAACAGGCTTGCAGCCTGTCCAGATCCCTTTGTAGTCCTGCCTGTTCCTCCTCCGATTGAATTCTCCTCGTTAATTTCACATCGTCTGCAAACAGGGACACTTCCAAGTCTATTCCTTCCGTCATGTCTTTCACATGTACCAGGAACAGCAGCGGTCCCTCGACTAACCCCTGTGGAACCTCGCTCGTCACAGGCGCCCACTCTGACAAGTCGTCACGTACCATGATTCGCTAATGTCTTCCTGACAGGTATTCCCTGATCCATTGCAGTGCCTTCCCTGTTATCCCTGCCTGGTCCTCCAGCATTTGCACTAACCTCTTGTGTGGAATTGTGTCAAAAGCCTTCCTACAGTCCATGGAAATGTAGTCTACCTACCACTTTCTCTTGTTTTACTTCTGTCACCCTGTCATAGAACTCTACTAGGTCTGTGACAGGATCTCTCGCCCCTGAAACCGTGCTGGTTGTCGTTGATAAGCTCATTCCTTTCTAGGTGCTCCACCACTCTTCTCCTGAAAATCTTCTCCATGACTTTGCATATTATACATCTCAATGACGCTGGTCTGTAGTTTAATGCTTCTTGTTTGCCTCCTTTTTTAAAAATTGGGGCTACATTTGCTGTCTTCCATACCTTAGGTAGTCGCCCTGTTTCGATAGATGTGTTGAAGATTGTTGTTAGTGGCACACACAGCGCCTCTGCTACCTCTCTCAGGACCCATGGAGAGATGTTATTCAGCTCCGACGCCGTTTAGGTATCTAGCTCGCTGTGTATGTGTGTGTGTGCTCACCTATTTGTGGTTGCAGGGGTCGATTCATAGCTCACACACACACACACACACACACATGGTAACACACACACACACACACACACACACACAGTAATACACACACACACGGTAATACACACACACTAACACACACACACATAGGAGAGTACATACACACACAGGTTAGTGTGTGAGTGTAGGAGAGAAAAAAGATTACTTTCACGTGAAAGCAGGGCTTAGACATACTTACAGATGGTGTAAAAGAAGTAAATGTTGGAGAGAGGAGGGGTGGAATTAAATTATGTAGAATCAATTACATGGGAGTAGACGCAGTTACATTTTGCTGATGATACTCTGCTTTTGGGAGATTCTAAAGCTAGTGGACGAGCTTGGGAGGGTATTTAAAGGAAGAAAGTTGAAAGTGAACATAGATAAAAGTAAGGTGATGAGGGTATCAAACGAGTTAGGTGAAGAAAAACTTCATGTCACATTAGAGGGAGGGAGTATGGAAGAAATTAAAGTGTTCATATATTTGTAAGTAGACTTGTCAGCAGATGGGTTTATCAAGGACGAGGTTAACCATAGAATGAGGTTGGAATTAGTCTCTAAGGTTTCATGATTACGAATGTCCTTCCATCTGGATAACATGTTCAGTTCTGCTGAGTGCCTAGTGTTTAAGTATGATGGTCCAGTGGATAAAGTGATATGTACTTTGTTCAGCTCAAACATGGCTGGGCATGGGAACGCAGGATCGAGTTCTGGCCAAGCAGCAGTTTTGTTAATGATTCAAAATCACTTGTTTTGTGATTTTATTGATTATATATATATATATATATATATATATATATATATATATATATATATATATATATATATATATATATATATATATATATATAATGTATATATATAAATATATATATAAAGACAAAATACATTGACAGAACATTCACAAAACTACGATACAAAGTAAAACAACATAGGTAACTCAGAGCTACATCTCGAATACTTCGTCCAGCTCCCCGGCGGTGGGCCGCATGCCCAGAATGCTGCAGGCATTTCCTCTCTGGATCGCAACACTGAGTCTCTGGAAGAGGAAGCTGGTCGCCCTGTGGTCCTTTGTTTCTATGATGAGCTTTTCACCCAGCTCTATTAGGAACTTTAGAGCACACTTGCCCCATGCTCCAAGGGTCTCTGACCCTATTGGGATGAAGTTATATATATATATATGTCGTGCCGAATAGGCAGAACTTGCGATCTTGTCTTAAATAGCAACGTTCATCTTGCCATATAGGACAAGTGAAAATTTGTGTATGTAATAATTTCGCCAAAATCATTCTGAACCTAACGAAAAAAATATATTTCACTGTGTTTGTTTAGTATATTAAATTATTGTAAACAAATCTAAAATATTTTTAGTTGGGTTAGGCTAAAATAAATTGCTCTTGTTATAATAAGGTTAGGTAAGTTTTCTAAGATTCCTTTGGTGCAAAATAAAAAATTTTTACATTAACATTAATTAAAAAATATATCTTTAAACGTATAAGAGAAAATTTCAGAAAGGACTTAATTTTAAATGAGTTCTTGCTAATTGACCAGTTTTACATATTCGGCACGACATATATATATATATATATATATATATATATATATAATATATATATATATATATATATATATTATATATATATATATATATATGTCGTGCCGAATAGGCAGAATTTGCGATCTTGGCTTAAATAGCAACGCTCATCTTGCCATATAGGACAAGCGAAAATTTGTGTATGCAATAATTTCGTGACGATCTGTTGGAGTGTGAGCAGGGTAATATTTAGTGAAGGGATTCAGGGAAACCGGTTATTTTATATAACCGGACTTGAGCCCTGGAAATGGGAAGTACAATGCCTGCACTCTAAAGGAAGGGTTTGGAATATTGGCAGATTGGAGAGATATATTGTGTATTTTTATACGTATATTCTGGGCACCTCTGCAAAAACAGTGATTATGTGTGAGTGAGGTGAAAGTGTTGAATGATAATGAAAGTATCTTCTTTTTGGGAATTTTCTTTGTCTTTGGGTCACCCTGCCTCGGTGGGAGACGGCCGACTTGTTGAAAAAAAAATGTCTTTCAGTTCACAGCAGGATTCGAACCAGCACACTCTATCAAAGAATACAGTGCTTTTTGCCATTTCGAAAGAGATTTTGGAATTACTTACAGATATTATCTGTCAGTCCACAGCAGGATTGTTGTTGGTTCGGAAATAATGTTAAATAAATTTGAACTGATCCATGATATATCTAGTAGATTTTCTTGATAATTACTTAAGTTTAAGTTAGGTAAGAACGGGTTTCTAAGTTAGGTTTGTTGACAAAATAAAAAAAATGCCCCACATTAAATGAAAACTTTATATCTAATGATCTATTAAAGAAAATCTGTTAGAAGTTAAAATTTTAGGATAGTTCGGCGTAATTGACCAATTCAGCTTATAAGGCACAATATATATTTGTAGATAAAGGAACTATAAAATGAACTATAAATTCAAATATTTATTAACTGTTGAAAAAATACATTAATATTTAACAACTAGTTTTGTTTCTTATGGTTAAGACTTAACTACATAAAGACCATTACGCTCACATATCAATAATTCCAAGTGAGGGATTGAAATCACTTCGGTGTAGTTTTACTGCCAGATACCTGCTGTACCTTTCTGGTAAATATACACTGCTACGTACCTACTCTCGGTCTATATACACTGCTACGTACCTACTCTCGGTCTATATACACTGCTACGTACCTACTCTCGGTCTATATACACTACTACGTACCTACTCTCGGTCTATATACACTGCTACGTACCTACTCTCGGTCTATATACACTGCTACGTACTACTCTCGGTCTATATACACTACTACGTACCTACTCTCGGTCTATATACACTGCTACGTACCTACTCTCGGTCTATATACACTGCTACGTACCTACTCTCGGTCTACATACACTGCTACGTACCTACTCTCGGTCTATAAACACGAGAACTAGATAGTACCCATAGAAGGGTCTTAGTACACTGACTACGGTTTAACCTACCTTTTCGTTAATGACCCCCTGTTAAGTACTATATCTGGTCTATAAACATCGAAAACATTTAGATGATTACCAATAGGAAGGGCGTCTTGGTTCGCCAAGACAAACGAGGGATTAAAGCCTCAACCATGTCTATCAATGGAAATTTACCCCAATGGTATATTAATATAACTTATTAAGTATTACTTAACAAAAAACTTATCTCTAGGGTATACAATTCATAAGATGGTTGTATTGTTACTAAACACCCATCTCGACTGTGACGAAGGTCATTTTAAACGCCTACTAGAACACTTATTACCTACCACGTCAAGGAATAATCTTCTCCTAAATCAGTTAATTAATTTAAACTTATTCTTCAAGCGTATACTTAACAAAAAAAGCATGTAGAAAAGTAGACATCGTAAAAGTTGAGCAAATTTCAGAAAATGGTATATTGTATAAAGTAACATGTTACATAAATATACTACTCTCGTCACTGTGACAATGTCCACCATTTTTAAAGCACAGTCACTGTGCTCAGAGCACTTAGCTTTCCTTACCACTTTCTATGGCAACCCTCAATCTTCGTCGCTGTTCTGTTCTATCTCAATCCTTCAACTCTTCATTCTCTTCAACGTCGTTATAGCCTATTAAAAAAGAATGTATTATATAATGAGTACCCATCAGATAGAGCTTCAATTCTCATTCTCTGGAAACATGTTAGAAATTTGATATATAATGATTCGTTGTTGTTGTTTTTAAATAGAGTGTAAACTTAACTCACACAGGCAAGTGGTTGCTTAAGTACTTGACAGATCATTATGCAAGACAGTTGCACGGAGACACTTGCCTTTCCTGAGAAACAAAACACCATCACCAACCCAAGACATTTCATGATGCATTTCTCGAAAGCTTAATCAAAATTATCCTGGTTACATGTTTTTACCCCTGACGTTTAGAGGCGGCGCCTTCAAGATTTTGTTGAACGACAGCTGGGGATTTAAGGAGAAGCCGGAGGTTGTGGGCGAGCTGGGTGACCTCGGGGAGACGTGGATCATACTGCAGCAAGTATTCGCACTCTGCCACCTGCGACAACAGCATCTGCAAAGATGTCATGTTGTATTTTAGCAATGGAGGCTTTGTTTATTGAAGGAAATGAGCTCATGTCTGGACTCCAGCGGGCGGTTCTGATTTGATTTTTTTTTTTATGAGGTTGGAAACCTAGAACTGGAAAGTCAGCAGATGTATAACTAGCTAGGAATCGCCGTTAACAAGGACACATATCAGGAACACTTGTCCTGTTTTTTGAAAAATAAGCCATCACCACCACCTGAGAGAGAGAATGTGTAAATAAAACACATTTTTGCATGTTTTAAAAAAATACTGATACGTTTGCAATATATATGGTTATAAAATTTATAACAAGTGTATTAAATTACATAAAAACGTTTAGAGACAAACACAACAATAAGTAAAATTGTTCATTGTGTTAGTAGATATAAGTAAAGTGTAAAGTGTGTATTAGTATTCCCGCCTCCGACTCATTTCACACAAATATAATTATGTTACACACAAAGCAAAAAGCAAATATTTAAATAAATGAGACAAGAAAAGAATGCATCAAGAAGCAGAATAAAATTACAAAAAAAAAAAAAGCTACCTGAACTGATGGAATATTGTTTGAGTGATGCACCAATTCATCATTGTGATTAATGTCATCACTTGTATTAGGGCCTTCGTCAGCATCAACGCATCTCCCTTCACCAGCAACAAGAGATCTCCCTCCGTCAGCAGGAGCTGCTTCCAGGCAGCGTTGAAGTATCTCGCTCCACGCTCTTGTTTGCTCTAGTAGCAGTAGTCCTGTAGGTTAGTGTTTTTCTTGTTATCAAAGTAATCTGAAGAAGTGCTTACATACTATTATTTATTATCATTCTTTTTCTTCTTCTTCTTTTTCTTCTTCTTCTTCTTCTTCTTCTTCTTCTTCTTCTTCTCTTCTTTCTGTCCTTCATCATCTTCTTTATATTATTATTATTATTATTATTATTATTATTATTATTATTATTATTATTTACTAGATGTATTAATAGTAGAAATATAAACAATAGCAGCAGTAACATTGCAGAAATCATTGTTTTCACTGATGTTACCTTTCATAATCTGTATAGATATATTTAATATACGAAATAAAAATCGTTACTATATACATTTAAAAATAAATATGATTGTCCTATTTCTTCAAAGGACTGAGATGATCCGTGTAAATCCGTGTATAATGTACTACACCTACTGTGTGGACTAAACTATCAACTGGGATTTAATGACAAAACAAAATATTTTTCAGCTAACTATGAATATCTCTCCTTGCATAAAGACTTCACAGGAGAATGTTAACGGTGGTGTCTAAAAATTATAGCATATACAGCAGGAAGTGAAGCGGCCTAAGACTTTATAATGATAACGCTTCGCTCATATTGATCTTCATCAAGTGTTAATTTGATAAATCTTCCACTAGGAAAACATTATAACAATAGACTTACGTTCCTTTATATACCCTATTTTTATTTAATTGTTAGCTGGTTATCTCTACCATTTGTAAATTAATGTGTACAGTATATGAATTTTTTACGTACGACTCTTCAGAAAAAAAACATTAGTAATAATTAAAACAAGAATACTCCATTAAATTTAGAGTGATTTACAGTGCTCTGTTTATTTATGAAAGAGATTTTATACATCTTATTAACTAGCTAAAAAATAACATTATCCTCAGCAAAATCAAAGGCTGAACGAAATATAAAATTTTAAAAGCTGAGTGCAGTCGAAATTAATACTACATGTGACTTTTATGTTATTAATAAATTCATGGGGAGCGCTAAACTAGTATGGGTCATACAGCACCTCAGGTAAAGGGTGGCAATCATGTTTGATGCAAGGAAAAGGAGGATTGTTCCTTGGATCAAACTTCTCTTACCCATATGATGTCATCTCCTGTGAGGAGAAAATATCACGTTACATTGATGGATCAGTACGGTAGCTCTTCACCTGACTTTCCATGTGACTCAATCACATGGTAAGTCAGTTCGTGTGACTGACTCATGAAATCGTAATGACACGACTGCAAACAAACCCTTTCACGTGTGGAGATAGAACTCGCGGACAAAGAGCCATAAAACTCCAGACCGATGCGTTAACCACTGGGCCAGCTGGCCCAGTGTGTGTATGTACTCACCTATTTGTACTCACCTATTTGTGGTTGCAGGGGTCGAGTCCTAGCTCCTGGCCCCGCCTCTTCACCGGTTGCTACTAGGCCCTCTCTCTCCCCGCTCCATGAGCTTTATCAAACCTCGTCTTAAAACTGTGTATGGTTCCTGCCTCCACTACGTCATTTTCTAGGCTATTCCACTGCCTTACAACTCTACGACTGAAGAAATACTTCCTACTATCTCTCTGACTCATTTGTGTCTTCAACTTCCAATTGTGGCCTCTTGTTTCTGTGTCCCCTCCCTGGAACATCCTGTCTTTGTCCACCTTGTCTATTCCACGCAGTATTTTATATGTCGTTATCATGTCTCCCCTGACCCTCCTGTCCTCCAGTGTCGTCAGGCCGATTTCCCTTAATCTTTCTTCATAGGACATTCCCCTTAGCTCTGGAACTAACCTTGTTGCAAACCTTTGTACTTTCTCTAGTTTCTTGACGTGCTTTATCAAGTGCGGGTTCCAAACAGGTGCTGCATACTCCAGTATGGGCCTGACATACACGGTGTACAGTGTCTTGAATGATTCCTTACTAAGGTATCGGTGTGTGTGTGTGTGTGTGTGTGTGTGTGTGTGTGTGTGTGTGTGCGTGCGTGTGTGTGCGTGCGTGTGTGTGTGCGTTGTATATATGCACGTCAATAATTCTCGCATAGCGTAGATAAAAAAATGAAGATCGTTTTATGAATCAGGAAAAACTCCATTGTAATTCACAAGGAAAATTTACCTCTGAACCGTGTGATTCCAGGTTCAATGATCGTGGCAAGTGTGATCAGCTCCTTGGTAAGAGTCACCACTCTAGTAAGGTCTCTCGAGGTTACATCTGTCATGGAGATATATTTTAGATAATGTTCTCTGTGTCGGGAGATACTTATTTGCAAGCACTGTTACAACTTTTCTTCAGTGTTTCTTGTGTAATGAAAACATACTCAGTATGATGAATAAATACAAATCGTAAAGCAATTATTATGGCCCTAAATCTATAATAAAAATCTTAAAGATATATTATTACCCTTTAAGGGACGATTTATGATGGCCTGTACAACTGCATATTTGATCTGAGCCACAATGTAGTGGTTGTCACCTAACTGTCTCTTGAGGTGCTCCAGTATTAGGGTGGCGCCTGCAGTGTCATCTTTGGGTAGGTGATTCATAGCAATAGCACCAGCTCTCACCAGTGACTCAGTGGCGTTCGCATCTATTCTCTTTCCGCATAAAGTACACGTCCAATAACTACAGGAGTCATCAGGTGGTACAACTAAGCCTTGGCATTCCCTACACGGGATAGAACTCATGTGGGAACCCAGTTCTGTAGAATCTAAACAGCGTTTACATTTACAAAGGAACATTTTACTTACAGATAAGTGTGCACGGCGTGCACGAGTACCCCAAAGAGATTGTGTGTAGCTAATAAATAATGGGGTACCCTTGGAAATGTCTACAGAGGCACGCACAACCATATTTCCCTCTGAATACCAACGCTGGGCGTTAGACAGGCAAGAATGATTCATCATTGACGATAATATAAATATAGCCCGTCCTTGCCGACACTGGTCGAGACTAAGTTCGAAAGCATTTGTGTCCAATACACCACACACGCGATGAACAACTCCAGAGTCTACCTCAAGTCCCAAGAGGGTCTCCATTGCTCTCACTACATGTTCTTCAACAAATCTACTAATATGCATTTTACGTCTTTCTTTTTCATGACTCTGCAATGCAAAAAATAATTCTGTTGTTTCAGGAGATTCCTGAAACATTAGAAGAACTCTTAGAGGTCCTAGCAAAATATTCAGTTGCTTGATACAACTTTCAATGTTTTGAGAATTTTTAATGCCAATGCGGCAGATAAGGATACACTCCTTTTTTCCATGATAAGTTCCAGCACAATGAGGTGAACACAGAGGACCACCACAGAGATTACAACCCTCCCAGTCTTTTCCTAGTGGTTTCATGCACGCCAGGCAAGTGGGTTCTGAATTTATCCTGGGGACTATGAGCAAAGGTTTCTCCCGTAGAATAACTTCCCCTGCATCGATGTCCCGAGCTGCCACGAGATAACGTCCGTACGGTGGACTCCACTGGATCTCAACTGCATCGTGCCCCCTTACCGCGGCGTCGTAGTTGTCTACAGCGAAGTCGGAAGACTGGACTTCTGAGTGTTTCTTGCAACGATGCTCTTGTAGAAGACGTTCGGCAAAAGAGTTTTCCGGCTGTGACTTAGTATCAGGGTCTTTGGTAGACTGAATGGTATCCATATAAGTCCTCAGCAGTAGTAAGCCGTCTCCCATCTCTCTGTTCATGTATACCTGCCCCAAAGAGACAAAATTATCATATTACATTTAGTAAAGCTATATATGTTATTTTATAATTTTCATTCTTGTAAAACCTACTTAGTTAAATAGTCATCCGTTAGTTATAAGTTAATTTTAAGGCTGCCCAGAATATTTTGCATAACCAGGGGCTGTCTGTACTTTGCAGAAATAAAGATTATTATTATTGTTGTTATTATTATTATTATTAATTATTATTATTATTGAGGAAGGAAAATGATGTGAGTGCTAATACTGTGGAAGCTGGGACAAACCCTGAGTTGGGCCTTTGGTGTCTTGTGGTAGTTCTTTAGTTCCTTTTCCCTGTTGTTCCACCCCTTTCACAGTTGATGTTCTGTTCAGTGTACTACACTTTTGTCACTTCTTTCTACTTTCTCAAGTCTCCCTTTGTACCCTTAGTTCCTCTTCCATTCGATCTTCTCTAACAAATACTGTTTCGAAGCCTTGAGATTCCTTCAGATTTGATTTCTTTCTCATTGCAAGGTTTCTTGTTTCAGATATTGTATATACAGTTATAAAAATCTTTGTTCTTCCTACATGCATTCCTACCCTCAAAAAATTCTCAGATTTCACTATCCCTCTGCTTCCAATTCTTTCACCAGTTCTTCAGTGTTTTATATCATCTTCCTTCAGGTTTTTGTTTCATTTTCATTCCCTTCATTACGGCGGAACATCATAATGGCTCTGTTTCTCGGATCTTGCTCTTCCTGTCTCAGCCAGGTTGCTCTCTCTGCCTTGGTTCTCTTAAATTCATGTACCGTTGCATTCTCTTCCCTGTTGTCTTGCTAAGAATATGCTTGTTGTCCACTGTGCATTGTTGCAACTTGTCTTTCCCTCTCTTTGGAAAACCTTCATCTTATTCCTTAATCAGCCTTTCCACGATATGTCTAAGCATCCTGACTTCATGACTCACGAAATCGTAATGACACGATTGCAAACAAACCATACCCCGGCCGGGATTGAACCCGCGGTCAGACGGGCTGGAGTTTTGAGACTCTGACCGCGGGTTCAATCCCGGCCGGGGTATGGTTTATCCTGACTTCAAATTCCAGGTCCTAATCTTTTTTTCCTTTGATCCTCGTTTGCTTTAAGTACCTTAGTTAGTTTTCTTATTTTTCTCGATCCCTTAACTGAAGGGTGTTCTGGAAGGTGTTCCGGGGGTCAGTGCCCCCCAGGTCAGGTTCATAATCATGTCTCTAAATTTGCTGTAATTCTCCTTAATATTTCTCTCTTCCTTCTTATTAATTTTGCTCTCTGCTTCCTCATATATATTCAGATTTCAAAGAGAGATTCACCTTTAGTCACATGTGTTTCCCCATTCCTCTCTAGTCCTTCAATACATGTTTCAAGTTGACGTATCCATTTACTACGCTGTTTCATTTACCCGGTTGTGGATGAGCTTGCAATACTCCCAAATCCCTACCAAATAACATATTGTACTCTATGTTTGGATAGGAGTAGTGTTTGTGCTTTGCTACGGAATGTGTTGGCTGAAGTGATATGTGGGAGTTGGAGTGGTATATCTGGGTGTATATTTGTGTTTTGTGTGTGTGTGTGTGTGTGTGTGTGTGTGTGTGTGTGTGTGTGTGGAGTGTATACTCACCTAATTGTACTCACCTAATTGTGGTTGCAGGGGTCGAGACTCAGCTATTTGCACCGCCTCTTCACGGACCGCTACTGTGGTCCTCCCTCTACCTGCTCCATGAGCTTTATCATACCTCGTCTTAAAACTATGTATGGTTCCTGCCTCCACTTCATCGTTTGCCAGACTATTCCACTTCCTGACAACTCTGTGGCTGAAGAAATACTTCCTAACGTCCTCTTGGCTCATCTGAGTCTTCAGCTTCATCTGTATGTGTGTGTGTGTGTGTGTGTGTGTGTGTGTATGTGTGTGTGTGTGTGTGTGTGTGTGTGTGTCTGTCTGTCTGTCTGTCTGTCTGTCTGTCTGTGCACTCGCCTGTTTGTGCTCACCTATTTGTGGTTGCAGGGGTCGATACATAGCTCCTGGCCCCTCTTCACTGATCGCTACTAGGTCCTCTTTCTCCCTTCTCCATGAACTTTATTATACCTCGTCTTTAAACTGTGTATGGTTCCTGCCCCCACTATATCATTGCCAGACTGTTCCACTTCCTGACAACTATATTACTAAAGAAATGCTTCCTAACATCTCTTTGACTCATCTGAGTGTGTGTGTGTGTGTGTGTGTGTGTGTGTGTGTGTGTGTGAGTCAAAGGGGGGTAATGGGTTGCAGGAATCTATTTATGGTTTCTGGCGCTGCGTCTCATGAATTGTCTCACTTTGTTCATCGCCTCATTGACCCTCTCGTGCATTCTCTACAATCTGTTTACAGCTTTACTTCCTCCACTTCCTCATTCAGATCGTTAAACTTCGTAATATCACCCAGACTTCATAAATTCTCTTGCCGTCCTTGTGACTCACTCTCAGTATTTCCTTTCCTCTTTTACTCGTTTTTCTCTATCTCCTTCCTGTCAAAATGGATTTTTCATCCTCTAACAAAAATCTAATTTGATTTCTTTATTAGGTTTAAAATCTATCGACTACACTAGGGATCAATGATTTTGCATGACACATGTATACCACCAATAAAAAAACTGATTTAATTCCAAAAATATGTTAAAATAATCTCTAATCATATAGACACAGAGATAGTTCTTCGATTTATGTATTCTGCCGAGTCTTCTGAGTATCTTCGTCCGTGTAATCATGTTTTCTCTGGTTCTCCTCTTTAGCGTGTGTGTGTGTGTGTGTGTGTGTGTGCGTGTGTGTGTGTGTGTGTGTGTGTGTGTGTGTGTGTGTGTGTGTGTGTGTGTGTGTGTGCTGATCTGTTTGTTTAGTTGTGATACAGGTAGTCGAGTATTTGCTACTTGCTCTTTTACCTGCTTACACCTATTTTTCATTAGTTGACTTCCACAGAGAACCTGTTGGATTAATTTTATAAACTTTTCTTTGGGGTATCTACTTCTACATTTTCCTCATCTTATTCGTAGATATTCGTTTTCCTGTTTCCACAAGAATGAAGAAATATTTCGTGACATCCCTGTAGCTCATATGCGTCTTTAACCTACAAATTTGTTCCACTGTTTCGTACCCGTCCAAATAAGTCGTCCGAGTGTCAAGTACATTGTTGTCGTGCATTCCATGGTCTTTGTCTTTTCTAAGGTCGTCAGGTACAGATCTTTTAGTCCTTCGTAGATCAACCTTCTAATATCATGTACCCTTCTCATTGTAAGCAGCCTGACTGGTCAGAGATTGTGCTTTTGCAACTGCATTTACTGAATGATCACTGCAAATTATCAGCTTCCTGAAATACCATAATATGCGAAGAGCAATGCAATATTTAGTACATTTATCATCCGGTGTGGACTCTAGTGCTGCATCCGCTACGATTAGTTTTATGTAATATCATTCTGTTACTCGTATTATGCTGTGTATTGACTTGAGAATGTTTAGTTGTTAGGTTCTGTATTGTAGTTCTTACGTACGTTAGGAAACTCACACACCGTCGACGTGTTTGGTTCATGGCTGTCTCCGGGATATTCTTGGTATTATATTAACTCAAAAATTATTTTTTTTTACTCTGTTCGATACCTCAGCTTAGATCACCTTTCTTCTTTCCCCGTTTTTTATTAATTTGCAGTTACTGGGGCTGAAGTCTTAAAACCTTTTTTGTTGAATTTTGTACTCAAAAATCCGGGAAAAGGGAATTAATGTACAATTGTTATGGATCCCATCATACATTGGATTACTCCTTGGTAAAGTTGATATGTTAGCCAAGAAGAGTACCCTGAAGGAGAATGTAGAATATAATTTTGGTATATCCGTGTCTAGCATTAGGAATAATATTAGGAGAGAAGTAAATAATGCAAATGAATGTTATAGGAATGCAGTTAGAAGCTTGAGCAGATCTATAACCCACTATGATAACATGAACGTAGATAAGTATGTTTATGAAGCAACTTGCAATGTGAACAGACTGATTAAATGTTGCAGTGGCCAGACATAGGCTTGGTTATAAGTTCTTCTGGCTGTTTGGGAGACACACAGATGATGATCAGGCCTATGGTCACTGTCTTGAACAATATGTGCTTATTGTCCACTTATTGAGGAATATCGAGACAGCATAATAACCTATGTGACATGTCAAAATAAGATACAAGATAAACTAAGCAAATTTGCTTAATTTCCTTGTAACAGATAAGTGGCCTGTAGATGTAAATACGAATGTACTTCTGTTAACCTTTTTGGGGCCTAGTTCGTAGGAATTTTCTGTATCCATATATCTATAGGCTCTTGCGCTACCGTCCACAGGATGGATATGGAATGCACAATAACCTAGCCACTTCGGTGGCAAAATCTGAATCTAACCACATCATCCTGGAGGCTTTACTGACCCTCTACAATATATATAATCTTCGTTAGCTTTACATTGTTCTCTAAGAGTGCTACATAAGGTCATTTCTTGTATCATGTCGTTTACGTAGATGAGAAACAGTACTAGTCTCTGACTCAAGTAGGACCCACTCGTCTTGTCTACTCACCTAATATACTGTCTTAGAGCATCCCTCATCGTCACCCCTCACTTTAGGTATTCTGCAGGCCACCTCAGTGTCTCTCTAGTTGTCCCTGTTTGCTCTTCTAGTTTGATGATCAAACACTTTATATAATACACCCAACTTATTTGCCATTGTATATATTTATCCATACATGCATCTATCTCCCCATCTATCTATCTGTCTATCGACATACTCAGACAGACAGACAGACAGACAGACAGACACACACACACACACACACACACACACACAATCTATATTAATAGTCAGAATGCATTCTTTATATTTCAAATAATCTTTTAACTGTTTATGATTTCATTTTGAATGTACTTTTATTCTCATGTTATTTTGTTACCCACTTTAATATAAAATTATACAGTAAACCTATGCTATATTATCCTC